TTTATTTTTGGTTTAATAATATAACATTTTATAAATATAATAATTAAGTATTCTGTTAGAACTCAATGATTATACTAATTATATTTTAGATTTTTTATATTTAAAATGAGATGTTTATCATGTATTTGATTGTGTTTATCTGCAGTTAGTTACACGAATTCAGATACGGGATGAAATCGGATAGGGATGAAATCGTTTATGGATGAACGAGTTTAAGAGTTTTAAGAGTTTTTAAGAGTTTTAGCCAAATGTTTTATAAGATAGTATAGATGATCACCTTGTGAATACAACGTGACACAACGACATTAAGAACAAAAAAAAATAAAGATCCTAAAAGTATTGTGTAAGGACTTGAATATACATTGTGAACACTTATATTTTTACACATAGTGATCATCTTGTGAACACAATGTGACACATTGACACTGAGAACTACAAAAAAAAACACTAGAAATATTGTCTAAGGATTTACATACACATTGTGAACAATTAATTAATGTTCTATTTGAGAAATTAAAAATTTTCTATTTATGGAAGTTATAGATTTTCTATTTAGGGGAGAATAAATTAACTAAATGTATTGATGAGTTGACTAAATTAATTTTTATTTTTATTTAATAAATAACATAATTATCTTAAATGAGTGGTTCATATTGGATCTCACGGATCTTACAAATTTTAGGGTTCTCATTTGATTAAGCATATATATATATATATGTATATATATATGTGTGTGTATATGTATAGGAGGTTTACTTTGCAAACCACGTTATTTGTATAAACCTTACAAACCTCAATCATAATTTTTCATTTTGTTCACTTTTTTGTAATTATGAGAGGTTGATTAATCATTTTTATTGTGAATGATATTAATCATGGATATTATCATCTTCATTATTTTAATTTTAGAGAAATATGTAAACAGTTTAATTAAATATTATATGAAACAATTTCATAATCATATATGAAACAACTTCATCAAAAAAGTATTATATGAAACAATTTCACAAGATTAAACAATTTCATGAAAAAAATTTATAAGATTAAACAATGAAATCGACGGATAAGGGTGGAGCGATCAAATGCAAACCACCCAATTTGTACAAACCGTGCAAACCACTCTCATCCGTCGATTTCATTGTTTAATCTTATGAATTTTTTTCATAAAATTGTTTCATATAATACTTTTTTTGATTAATTTCATATATGATTGACATTGTTTCATATAATACGTATGAAATTTTAATGAAACTGTTTCATGTATTTTTCTAAAATTAATATAATGAAGATGATAATATCCATGATTAACACCTTCCACRATAAAAATGATTAATCAACCTCTCATAATTACAAAAAATGAACAAAATAAAAAATTATGATTGGTTAAATGAAGTTTGTACAATTTGTACAAATAACGTGTTATGCAAAGTAAACCTCATATATATATATATATATATATGTGTGTGTGTGTGTGTGTGTGTGTGTGTGTGTGTGTGTGTGCGCGTGCGCGCACGTGCACGCTTTATTAATTTCCTACAATGTTGTACTTATTAAGAAAGTAATCAATAGATTGAAAATGAGGTTTTACGTTAAATCCAGAATACGAGCAATAGAAAGGGCATGCGCCATCGAAAGTTCCCCTATATTCATCTGCGAATTGGAACACCTACAAGCAAGTCAAAATTCTTTCTTTTTAATTAGTAAAAAAGGCTAACATAGAGAATTGAATTCAATAGAGGAATTACATACCTGTATGGCTGTCTCAAGGAGTTTGTCGGCATAGGGTTGATCGCTTTTGCGAAAAGCGAGCGATGAAGCAGCCAAAGCTGCAGCGGTCTCGCCAGCAATCTCGGTTCCAGGAGTTTTATCGTTAATTTCCAACACCGTTCTTGGTGTTTTCATGTTCTCAGGCCTCATCCAACACTTATGATCCTCCTCCGGATCTCCGACCTACAAATTTACAACATCTTTTTCGATGAAAATGTCTAAATATTCTAATAAACTGCTTACTTTGTAGAAATTAAGTTTAAAAGGACCAAACAGTTGTGCTCTTATATAAATAAATGTGTTACAATAGAATGTTATGACATATTTGACATCCTAACGAGTTTTCTAGTAGAATTTTGAAATACAGTGTCCTATTAGCTTTTTTATATGACACTTTTGATAAGTGCTCTATTTTATATATGACACATTTCGAAATAATGTCATATGAAAAAACCAATATAATACTTTATTATAAATTTGTGTGGATTAAAAATTTGTTAAGATGACCAAAAACGTTCTATCAAGTAATTGTAGGACATTCACATATAACACAGTTGTTTGGTTCTATCGATGTGAGTTTTGTAAAGTATATTGTTAGGTCCGAGTTTAAGAAAATAATCAATTACCTCAACAAACAAACGATTACGTTGAGAACTGGCTTTAAGAAGATAATCAGTGCCCCATCTGATAGCATCAAGAAGATTATTCATTTCTCCAGTAGCCTCAAGCTCAAAATGATAAAAATATGCGCCCCACGCCATCGTGGTCACCGTAAACGCCATCGGAAGTCCAAATTTCACGTTATCTCCTGCATCATAGTATCCCCCCACCAAATCAACCTATATACGAAAATAGTCAAAACCAAAAAAGTCAAAAGCATGAAGTCAAAACACGTATATATCGATGTTCTTGAAGGCTTACTCCGACTAGTTTTCCATCTTCAAGAGCAGAATCACCTCTCCACGGAACCCTATTAGTCGGAGGAAGCTTTCCAGATCGTTGGGCCTCCAAGAAAATGATCGATTTCGTGAGGGCTTCTTGGTAATTTAATTTCTCGTGAGCGTTTACGCACACCCAAAAACCCGCAAAAAGAGCCAACAAGATCATCGAACTACATGATTCTGCCATTACAGAAGCTCCTTCAAGAACATACAATTAATAATATGGTGCGTGTGTTTTTGGCGGGAAGGTTACGGATATTATTTGAGTTAGTTATTTTGGTGGTTGAAAGGCGGAGACTTTTACTTGAAAACTAATGGTTTAAAAGATGCCCTTTTTATGTATATAATTTGTGGCTACTAAATGGAAATTTGCACCATCCACACATATGTCCTACGTTCGTTATTTATTGCCATTAATTGTTGTAACCTTAAAACTTTCTTAAAAAGGATATGTTTAGGATAACCGGAATTATTGTTTCTCACGTCGTTATAGGGATTTGAAGGGGCAATTCGATCGGTTACAACGTTTTCTTTTGGTATGTTTCCCGAAAGTTGTGCCTTATGGGAAGGTTTTCTCTTTGGATATCGAACGAACGGCTTGAATAATATTGACGGTTTTTTATGTCTGAGTTTTTCTTTTATAATTCGAGAGAGAAACTACATAATATGTTATGGGGTTTTGGGTATTATATCTTTCTTGGATCGTATAATCATATCAAGAGGTGGGGTTGTGCTGGAATACGACAAGGAATGTCGTTTTTTTATTTCTATAATGGATCAATAAATTGGTAAAACGATTAGAAATATACTTTAGAAGCCAAAATAGTCATATAATTTGAAAAGGGGGCACGGGGATTTAACATGCACAGAACATGAATGAGTGGGAGATATGGGGTTCGACTCCAGACACCACCTACACCTCTTTATGACACGTGATTTACCTTCCTCGTGATGGTCGTGAGACATATACAGTGGTGGCACTCTAAAAGGTGGCATCATATTCCTCTTTATAGAATATAACAAGACATACAAATTTCTCTCAAAATATGAATATACATACATATATATATATATATATATATGTATGTGTGTGTGTGATTATGATCTAGAATATACCTCAACTCGAATAAAAGCTAATCATGTTTAGAGAACATGACAAGGATTCAGTAAAATGATAGAAAAAAATATAAATATCGTGGTGAATCTATTACATAACATTAGAAAACTACAATATTTTTCTAAGAAAACAAGTACAAATATATGTATGTATATAGAACATACTTTTTTATGACAACATTAATTATATGAAACATATGCATTATAAAACGCCAATAACATTAATAGTTTATTAGCTGTAAAGTAATTATTCTTGATAAAATTGGGGTTGGGGTGGGGGTGGACGTGTATTTTCAAAGGGATATGGTGACTCCATTATCAAAATCAGATAATTAAATGATTATTTTCGTTAAAGTTATAAATAGTTGAGTAATTTTACATTTACCGTAAAAAAAATCCCAGTATTTTAAAGCTGACTTTCTCCAAATATGATTATTTTCACTTAAATAGATTCTCAACCTTCACGTTAATGTGTATATTTTCAAAATTTATTTTCCATTTTCCTTATCAACTTCTGTATGCTCGTTTTTTTATATCGTGATTGTTTGCTGTAAGAATAAAAAACCGGTTTATTGAAACGAAATTTATTAGTTTTAAGAATTTATCTAACAATACAATATTTTGTAAAATAATTTTGATAATCTATATTATATTATAAAACATTTGGCAAAAACTCTTAAAAACCATTTTTTATGCGTAAAGTACTGTTTATTAATGTATATTACTTAAAATTATGGTAACAAGTAGATTATGCGTAATTACAACTTATTAACGGTCCATATTTGAATTCGTGTAACTAACTGCAGATAAACATAATTAAATACATGATAAACATTTTATTTTAAATATAAAAAAATCTAAAATATAATTAGGATAATCATTGAGTTTTAACAGAATACTTAATTATTATCTTTATAAAATGTTATATTATTAAACCAAAAATAAATTATTTCGCTATTAAACTTAAATTAAATTATAATAAAAAATAAATTAAAGAAATTACATTATCATGAGAACTTTTAAATAGTTGATTTGATATTAACATTGATATTTTTTTTTCAAATTTTTATGATATCTTCAAATTTATATTTTATTCAAAAAATAAAATTATTATTGTTTTCTTAAAAACATATAAAAACGTATTATAACATCGATATAAACAAATAATAAAATAAAATATTAAAATCGATAAGTGGTTCACTGCATTGCATGAACACTTTTCTAATAAGAATTAAAAATAATTGTGAAAGCGAAACAAAACTAAAGTTAATATGGTCACTTATTTGCAAAAAGTTAAAATAAGTTTCAATAGAATTGCAAATTAGACATAGTTGAGGGACCTTTTTGAAAGAAAAAAAACGAACGTCGCCTGAGAGATTCGAACTCTCGCGGGGAAACACCATGTACTTAGCAGGCACACGCCTTAACCACTCGGCCAAAGCGACGGTTTGTTATTCGCTTTTGGGAATCTAATTTGTATCGATAAAAGATGCGAAGAAGGTTAAAAAAAGCCCCGCTGGAAAAGCAAGGAGTGAGATCGTCTTGTTCCGAAGGAGTTGGTTTTCAAAATTTGGGATGTTGAAGTTGTTTTGGAAAAGGTAGAGGAAATCAACAGCAGCAGTGGTAGAAAATGGCCACGGTTCAGGCGGTTTTAGGTAATTTGTCGGTGGAAGAACGCCATGTTCTGACGGCGGTGAACACTGGAGCATCCACTCTATCGCTGTTAGGTTCTGGATTCATAGTGCTTTGCTACTTATGCTTTAAAGAGCTCCGAAAGTTCTCCTTCAAACTCGTTTTCTTCCTCGCTCTTTCAGTAAGCATTTTTTTTTCTCTCTAAATTCAGATCGATTTGGAAATTTTAATTTACTTTTAGTTTCAGTTGTGAAATTTGATGATTAACTCTTTTGGTGATCGAAGAAACAATGATCAGTTGATTGTTCTAGTAAAGTCCAAGTTGGAATATTGAATTGCTTCATTTGTGTTTAATGTCTTTTTCTGGATTTTGATGTCTAAGGATTTCTACATAGACCATGCTACTGTTTTGTTTAGTTGAAGGTCTATTTGGTGGTTGAATTTTGAAATTTAGGAACTGATTGTAGTCTAATTTGGTTGAAATGATAGCTGCATTGCCCTCCCATGGATTTGTTGCTTTGTTTTACACTAAAATCCTAACTAGCTTTGGGTGGATTGTTGTATTAAAATGGGTGTTTTTACTAGAAAACGATTTTTGATCTAGTAGATTGCATTTTAGTATTATTGTTTCAATAAACAAGGCAAACCTCTGCTGGATCAACAAAGCATGAAGTTAGGATTCTTAGAAACTTTGCCACTTAACCTCTCTTAAGGGACCCTAGTTTATGCAGATAATCGCTTCGCTGAACTAGGATCATCATACTTAATAAAGGAGCAGAATCGGCTGTTTGCGGGTTCTTATTTTCGACACATGCAACTGAAGTCTGTGAACACAAGCATGCGCTCAAACTAACTTTTGTGCTTCTTGGAGATGATATATGACTTTACTTAGCTTGCTTCTGATTAAAGGGATATTGTTGCTCCATAAGATATTATTCATGATCCCAACCATGTGTATAGAGAAGCATTGGTGTCCTGTACTATACGTAAAGTACTTGGCCTTGGTTCTAACCTGAATCCATTGTGACGGTAAAATGGAAGTGCTGAGAATCCCTATATATAAAGCACTGGGCCTGTCTTCCAGGAGTGCCGTCAGCCTGGCCTCTTTGAGGTTCTTGGCTTGAGTCGATAACGAGTCTCTGTTTGTCAGACTCCACAACTTGTTTTGTGTACTTGAGCACTTGTTCAGTCATTCTCCTTCGCTTGCTCTGGGACATTTTTAACATTGTCGATGTTTTGCATAGGAAACGCCATCTCTAGGCACTTCTCAACCCTGTTGGCATGTTTTGTTTGACCCTCCTCTTTTGGGATCTCTCGGTGCCTGAGCAACCGGTTGCTTGACATTTTTTCGACCCTAACAGTAATTCCTACTTCTGGTGTGAAATCATGGGGAGTAGCAAGTGCTCAATTTCCATTCCCTGTGGAATGAATGTTGACCTTTTGTAAACCTTTCTCCCTTGGTTGTAGTATTGGATTATGAGCCCTAGAATTGTTCATGTGAAGAAATTTTTGTTGTATTATTCTTCTGCCAATCTAAATTAAGTGCGCAATAGGCTCAGACTCATCCCTACTTCTAGTATAGAATCATGGAGCTTGGCAAGTCTATTTGCTTTGCCTGTTGGATGATTGATGAACTTATATAGCCCTTTTGTCCATTGGTAGTAGTATTGAATTAGTCCCTGGAATTGTTCCTGTGTAGAAACTTCCACTTCTTTGTGCTTCTATCAGTCTCAATTCAGTGCTGGAAGATCAACAGATGGCTAATAACTTATGTTTTTCTTGTATTCTTTCTTTGTCTGTATTTGGTGCAGGATATGCTTTGCAGCTTTTTCAGCATTGTTGGGTATGGATATTAAAGTGAAGTGAAATAAGTTTGCTTCTTCTGATACTTCTGCTAACATGGTTTTTTGTATGTGCAGTGATCCATTTAAAGGATTCTTCTGTTATACTCAGGGCTTTATCCACTAAGTTTTTTTTTTGTATATGCAGTGATCCATCTAAAGGATTCTTCTGTTATGCCCAGGGCTATAGCACTCATTTCTTCTGCGTGGCATCTTTCCTATGGACTACTACTATTGCTTTTACACTTCATCGTACAGTTGTCAGACACAAAGCTGACGTTGAGGATTTTGAGCCCATGTTTCACTTGTATGTTTGGGGTATGCACTGATTTTTGTATGCTCATAAAATAGGGGGAGTAGAAAAACAAAAAGGAAGTTTAACTGCATTCATTATAGAAAAACAAAATGAACTACATTTCCTTTTAAGATTTCCAAGGCTGGCAATTTATGAAGAACCACAGCTGTCTTTTTTTTCTTAGCCTCTTTCTATAGTTGCTGAGAGTGTGTATCAGATGTATCAGATTGGATACAGGACAAAATATGTATCTGATCCCTTTGGTAATGTATTTAGACTGATGGAGATGGTAAATGATAAAGCTTCATTTGCTTTTGAGCCGTTTCATATTCCTCATTGATGAAATCTAATATGGATTTTCTCCCAGGAACATCACTTGTCATGACAGTTCTTCGGTCTATTGGTAATGAACATGGACATGTAGGTCACATAGGTCGTGTAGCTGCATGGTGCTGGACAGAAACTGGACGAACAGGAAAGGCAAGTATAAATAGATCTTGGTTTGTCTACAAGATTTTCTGATTATGGTCATTGCTTCCTTTCCATTTAGCTTTTGTCTGTCTCTGTTAGGTTTCCATTATGTTACTATCAAGTAAGTACGGTTTTCTACTAATTTTTTGCCCACTGCCCATCTTGTACACCATTTAATTAGGGTTTTCCCTGCTTAATGAGGCATCTAGTTTTACCTTGAACATTCACATGGTATCACTCATCAAAGCTAAGATGTTGAGCGAAAACCTAACTTCTCACATGCTGTCGGTGGCCAGCGACAGATGCCACAAACATCACCAGACTTCATCGCATGTCTGTGCTCCTTCTGTAGTCTGTTCTAGCTCCTGCTGTTTCCAACAGTTGTGAGGCCTTTGCTTTGGCTCACAACCAGGTTCCCCTCCCTAGGGCCAAGCGGCCACCTGTTGTAGCCCATATGTGGTGCAGTTAATGTTTTGAGATTTGGTTTGCTTCTGCCCTTGATTTATTGATCTGATCTGTTTTTGTATCGGTTCCAGATTCCTGTTTTAAGAAACCTGTTGATCATTTTGTTAATCATGTCCTGAGTAGTGTCATTGCTTTATATTCATCAGGAGTCAATAACCTGTTATGCTGACCAAGTCTGGTCGATTCCAATCCCATATTGTCATGACTAGTAAATTGGACAGTAATCAAAATTCAAAAGGATGTATTAAATGCTCAGAATCTTAATCTCTCAAGAAATAGTTTAAGCAATAAATACACATTGTGTTTATGCTTGAAGAGAGAAGATGAAAAACTTCCTATTCATTTCACCAACGTTTGCATTAAATCACAGACGTTCATCTGAACCCCAATGGTGACTGCATCAAATGCAATAACCATTAGAATCAAATCATGGATATCCACGATATGCTTCAACGTTTGTCTGCTGACATTTTCAGACGACATCTTTTGTATATTAAGTGTAATAATTTGTTTTTGATAAGTTGTTAGAATTAACTAAAAATTCTAATTAACATCATTTTGATGACCACTAAAACTTACCAGAATAAAATTTAAAATCATAAGATGTGATTTTAGAAAGATTCATCCAAAAGTCTTGTGTGGTTGTCGGATATCGGTATGCTTCAAGAGTTTGATCCCAGAATCTTGATTTCTTGTTGTAGGCATTCCTTGTGGCTTAAAATCTCTTATTAATCTATAGACAAGACAATCGAACAATTTCTTGTTAATTATGTCAGAGGATTGTTTGTTATTACCGACACTTGAGGGGTGTAAATTGTATACCTTGACTTTCTATAAAGCAATTTAAATTTTCAACACTAATGTGAAATGACCTAGAATGTCATCTGTTGGATCAGTTTCGGGTAGAATGATGAGACTAGATGATGATAATCACTTGGCTTTCCATATAACAACCATCAATTTCTCTATGACAGAACCAAACACATCAAGGTTTGTTTGAAATCACGATGCATGAACACCATCTGACCACCTATCCTACCTCTTCTTGTTTGGACCGAGTAGTGGTTGGTAGATATCCTTACAAAATCACTATGGATGACCCAGCTTGTATTGGAAAATTGATTAGGCTTGATATCAATGCTCCAACCCGAGGAATGTTCATTAATTAGTTTTTCGTTAATATCTATTAGGTTTCTGTTAATATTTTGGCCCATCCCATCTTGTAAAGTATTTATTTTCTCCTGCATAATGCAGTATGACATTTTACCCCATAAGCACTCATAGTTTCAACTTTTGGAATTAAAAGCTACTAATGGAATGGAAGGAGCACCTATTAGTTTCTTAGGGGTCGCTTACCGGGTAAGAGTCACAACCCTCACTTACTTTACCGGGTGAGATTCTCGGCCATCAAAATGACATAGTAAGATTTGGTAAGCGTCTATTACATGGCAAGTGCTAACCGGGTAAGAGTCAACACCCTAGAGGGTAAGATTCTCAGCCAGCGCCATGCCTCTTGCCGGGTAAGATTTTTGGTCCTTGCAATGCTCACTCGATAAGCGCTTACCTGGTTAGTGTTTGGTAAACATCCTCTTAATCTGTTAATTTGCATTGCACTATGTAACATGGAGGATGAGATAGAACAGAAGTAAGTGCACGTGCAACAATATCGCTTACAGAGGCTTAGGTTTGCATAATGTTAGATGGATTTTAAACAGAACCTGTTTAAGGAACTCTCTCTCTCTCTCTCGTGTGATACATGATAAAGTTGGTTCCAAAGGAATTGTTGGCTTCTGACAATTATGTGAAACTGGTATATAATCCTTTGTCATCTGAATATTATGGGATCAAGTAATGGAAATAGACGTTTTGTAAAAGATACAAAGGAACGGCTGCATACAAAGACTTGTAACACTTGCTAAGCCGAGGAACCTTGGTGCATAAAGTTACCCTTGTGCACATTGTAGAGATTGTATAGTAGAACTCCATTGTTGAAACTCACTGCATCATCCAAGTTTATTAAATGGCCGTATTTCTACAGGCTGTCCACTTCTTTACCTTTTACACACCTCTGTGGGGCGCAATCCTTTTCAATGGGATCACTTACTTTCAAGTTATACGCATGCTAAACAATGCAACCCGTGTAAGTTCACAGTATTATACTCCCGTGTTCTTTTATTTGTGGCTTTTTGTTTTTATGGTGTTAATAAGATAGTTGGGACATGATCTAAGACATTTTCTGTAAATTTCAGATGGCAGTGGGCATGTCAGATCGGGGTTCCCAATCAGATACTCGAGCAGACATGAAGGTATTGATGTTTTGCTTCATCACTTCCATATCAGTAGATATGGAGCTCATGGAGAACGTGGTAATTATATATATCATACTACAACAAAGCACATGCGTCCTATTAGAGTCCTAATGGGACTTTTAAGTTTATGGGACCAAAAACCGGCTTCCTATCCTAAGGCCTAACAGAGGTTGCTAGGACAAAGGTGACTATCTACAAAGTTGGACAACCTAACAGGACAGAAAAAGGAAGTCATTCTATTAGCCTTTTTATATGACACTTTCGAAAACTATCACATATATGAAAAGTATCCCGGACGATTTACTTGTACTGTATTAGGTTGTCTAACTTCATCAATAAAACTTGGTAGGTCTTTTAACTTCGTCCTAACAACTTATTGCAACACCTTTAGGTATGACATATAGTTATTGTTCCTATAAACTTTAAGTCCCATTAAGTACTCTGGCATTCAGCGTCCTAAATGACCAATTTTGTTGTAGTGGCAGGTCATGTTGAACCTAATGCTTGCCCATTACTCCCTTCGTCCAAAAAAGTATATCTAATTTTTTTGGTAAAGAACAAATTAGTACACAGCTGAACATGAGCTTACAGGAATGTTTTTGAGTCGCGGAAACAACCTATTTGCAATAGGTAACAGAAAGGTTGCATACAGAGATTCCCCCCCCCCCCCTTTCCGTCACAAAACTGACAAGCCTTGGTGCATTGGAGTTGCTCCCTTTTTTTCTTTTAAAGACCCCTTTAGCTTCATGCCCTCATTGCTTTCTTTCTTTTTATAGGCTTTGAATCGTTGGGGTTACTATCCACTCATTCTTATAGGGTCGTGGAGTTTTGGCACAGTCAATCGTATTCACGACTTCATCGAACCGGATCATAAGATCTTCTGGCTTTCTGTATTTGATGTTGGAATGGCTGCACTAATGGTAAATCTCAAATCTCCATTCCGCTTACTGTGTTGATTGCTTAATCTATAAATTAGCATGATTCAATTGCTTCCTACGTTGCTCATGGCATAATCGCTCCATTCGAAAATTGCAACATTTGACTTGGCACTTCGTTTTAAGTAAATTGTTTAAAATTGCCTTCCAAATATTCTAAAAGTATCCTTCAATAAAGACAAATAAAGGGATCCTATGACCCAAATAACAAATGTTGTATATCCCACCCGAAAGCATGGTCTAGGGATAAGATGTACACAGACCTTTACTTTGTCCAAGAGACGGAGGTTTTTTCCTGGAAGACCCCAGCCTTGTGAAAAAAATAAAATGACGGGGAAATTTTAACTAGGAATGCTTTAGAAAAGTAAAACGGTGTGGTTTTAATGGCAAAATTTTGGTATTCACTACTTCGAGGCATGATGCAGGGTCTTTTCAACTCAATAGCATATGGCCTCAACTCTTCAGTACGGCGGGCAATCTACGAAAGACTAGATTTGTAAGTCTTTGTTAACGCTAGCATTTCCACTTCATAAACAAACAAAATCTTTATCCAAAAGGTCCATCACGAATACATCTACTAGTGTATTTAGCATCCGTTGTATTTATCTATTTAATCCTTAGAGGTAGGGTTGGATTCCGATGAGAACAACTCCCTTTCTTTTAGAACGTGAGAAAAAGTGAAGGTATCTTCATATTATGTGAAGTTTTGTCGTCAGAATTGCTAAAATACCTTTATATTGTGCAAAAGATACAACATTCACTCAATATAATGTTGCATTCCAATACTGAGTTGAAGGTGATGTGAAAGTTACGATCTCCACACAATATAAAGGTGTCTTCACTTGTTCTCACGTCCACATTCTCATGAAAGCGAAAATTTCTCACATGATCCTGATTCATCAGATATAAATCCCAAAATCTAGCAATATTTATCATCATCGAAGTAAATACTACCAAAGATTCACATATTAGATGGACTTATACATGTTGGCTTAATTTTTCGTATACACGATTATATATTTTCAGGTTACCTGAAAGCATCAGAAGATGGTTTCCGAAAAAGTTGAAGTCAAGAAGCCAACAACAGCAACACGAAAGTGAACTAGTCTCTTTGAGAATCGAGGACCAGCGTCAATAGCAACATCAATAAGATGCCGAAAACGAGCTTAAAACACAACAATCAAGTTTTTATGATTTAGGGAGAAAAGGGGCAACAAGAAGGTATCTTCAAAGAGCTTCCATTTCTGTAGAAAGAAACTAATTAGCATTTATTAAATTAATGATGTAAAAAAAATTGTTACTGGTAGTAACCGAGTTTATTGGACAGTTTTGGTTTTGGTAGCAGGTATGTGTGTATTTCTAACTATTTACTTAACAAAATTGTATGGTCTAGAGGAGAGCTTAATGATATAGAAAGTGACTTATTTAAAAACAATTTTAGTGAAAAACGTTTTTGACTGAATTAAACATATTTGGTGAAGATTTATTTTAACAGGGTTACTGGAGGGTCTAAGTTTAAGGGCATCTCTAATGGTCAATGGTAACACCAAATTTTATATCAAAACTATAAATAATTAGGTGTTTGGGATTGCTTATTTAAAACAACTTATGTTTTTTTTTGTAAAAGTGCTTATTAACTTATTTAAAACAACTTACGTATATCACATTCAGTTAATTTTATCAATTTACATATATACAAATGAGTATATAAAGATGTGAATAGATTGAAAATATATGTATATAAAAAGCATATATGATAGTGTAATTGTCTAATGTATATATTAATAAAAATTCAACAATCATATTAAATCCAAGAAATAAAAGGATATCGGGTTCATCGGGTTTGGTTGAGTTCAAATAATAGTAACACAATATCAACTCAATATCTACGGTTTGACAATTTTATAACTCGATTAAACATCGGGTTGCTTCGGGTTAGGATATTTCGCGTTGAGTTGGGTTGAATTGATCGGGTTGGTCGGGTTTTTGAGCACCCCTAACGTGAAGCACATATGATTTTATACGTAAGATTAGTGTAAAATCACATATAATTATGTTATTTTCATATTTTCTTAAATAGGTATATCTTCTCAAACCGTAAATAAATAAAAAAGGGTGTACATGCCATGCATACATAAATACAAAAAGGCGACCAATCGAAGCAAAATGCAGAACTCAAATCCCTAATTGGTTGTATGTGGGTGCAGATCAACCACAAGCGCAAGGATCATCAATCACCATGATTTGCTCATCATCCGTGCTCCTAAACAGCAGGTATCCGACGGCCAGTCCAACGACGATCACCATAAAAACACCGCCGTTAAACGACATCACCGCAAGCATCAGCAAGTAGTTCATCACCGCGTTTATCCCGAATATCACAGATCCGACGAACCTAGCTCGGCTACCGCCGGAGAAAAGCTTATTGTAAAGGAAAGGAGCATTCTCGGCGGTGATTGAGGACGAAAGGAGCTTGAATCTGAGGCGGCGATCTTCCATGAACTGGTAAAAGGCGGAGAAGAGGAAGCAGACGATTAAGGTGAGGAAGTAAGTGAACCATGAGTGTGTGTTCCATGAATCGATGAGCAAAGTGACGTTCCGTCCCCAATAGAAGGTCATATGCATGGTGGTGGCGTTAATTTTCCGTCCGTCGACTTGCGGTGGTTGCAGAAGGCTGATCAAACTGCGCATTATAAATCATCTGTAAGTTCCAAAAAGGTTGTGTGTAGTACCACCAGTACTACACACACCTTTGTACTACTCCATCTATCTATCCATCCTCACAGCAGCTCCATAAATTGACTGATCCCACTTTGATGAATTTTCTAGTAATAAAGTTGATTATTTGATCCATGGAAATCGTTTTTTATATCGATTGGAATGTTACATGGACGTTGCTATCAAACTTTTGTTTTCATACACAATTACAAGTCATTGTTGGATAAGTGCTTATCAGACGTGCATGTTAAAGAATCGGGAATTTTAATTATCTAGCAAGGACCAAAAATCTTATACAATAAGTAAGGGAAAACGACTTTTATCCGGTTAGCACTTACCACGCAAGAGATGATTATCAACAATCCATGTTGATGATCGAGAATGTCACATGATAAGGAAAATGAGGGTAGCGGTTTTTTTTTTTTTGATTAACCTGGATATCCAACCCATTAAGCGAGTCGACTAATCCTAAGACTACCTGCTTTGTAGATAGCCTGGAGTCACCGCATTTGAACATCCGTGGCCACAAGGGGGTTTTTATTTCTCATTGGATTTGAACTTGAGATCTCTAGGTACTTTTGACCTTTTGAGTCAAGCTCAAACCAATCAGGTACTACATTTGTGGTTATGTGGCGACTCTTATTGATCTACATTTATCTGGTAATCATTTGGTAAACGGTAATCATTTGGTAAACGGCCTCTTAATATTCTCCTTTTTTAATCAAATCAAAGACACTTACCCATATGTCATTTTTGAAAGTGGGGTCTGTGTTTAAGATGTATACAGACTTATCATCGTAGTTGATTTTGTCAAAAAACCAACTTCAGAAAATGTTTTCAAAAATATTATTTTCCTTTACATGACAAAAACTTCAACTATTATTATTTCTATATTAATACGTTATATGTGAAATTCGGTGGTGTTTGTAGGGCTATGACTACACGTTCACAAACTGTATTTATGTATAAATTCTTATGAAATCGACCATAGCCTTTTTTATGAGGGATTTGAATACATCCCTAATTCTGAGCTTCATGTTACTCCTACCAAGAAACATATGAGGTACAGGACATTCCGATTGGATTAAATGGGATGACAGTTTCTCTGTAAAATAAGGATTTCAATCAAATCAAACACCGCAGTATACTAAGTCTTCTAATTCGTTAAGAGGTTTAATTTATGTATGATTATACGTATGTATTTATATACATGTTCATTGATAGTATATGTATGCACTATCGATGTCATGCTTGCTCTTGATTATGAGTCGTACTAACGTTTCAATAATTTTGTAAATCCTCTTACATCCAAAGCTTATTTTAGATAACAGATACATACATATATATATGTATACATACATACATATATATATATATATGTATGTATGTTAATTGTTGACCATTTTACATTCAAAATCATACAGTTAACATGCTAAAAAACAACTGTATATACTTAGATGGGTCGATTATGGTTCGAATCATAATACATTATTAATTGTTTTTAAATATAAAAAGATGTTTTTAGAAAAGTCTGCTTTTTGAGAATGCTTTTTTCGTTTTGTATGATAAAGTAAAATAAGTTATAATGAATTGATGTATAAAAATAAAAAAGAGCCGCCACCTCCTTTTTTTCTAGATCTCTTAAGGAAAGAAAAGCACGTCTCAGTCGATTTATGGAGATTTTTCTTTCTTTCTTTCTTTTTTGCAAAAGTTGGTCCCTTTATTAAGAGAGGAAATCACTTGTATGACCATAAATACATAAATTAATTAATAAAATAGCTCATACTTTCACTAAAGCATTTAGCCATCGTCCCACACACAGGTAGTAAAATGGGTCCAGTCTGGCTTAGGATCAGGGACTGACTTGGGACTGGTTTGACTCAGGACCAACTGAGATCGGTTTAAGACCAGCAGTCTGAGACTAGTTATATATAGTGATGGCCAAAAACTGGCAGGTCCCAACTTTTTTTCATAACTGGTCTTGGTCCCGGTCGAAAATGGTAAGATCATTCAAGTTTCTTCACAACGGTCCTTGGTTGTCGGTCCCAACCATCCCAACAAGTCCTGCCCTTATTTTTTTTTAATGATATATATTTTTAATACGTTATAAAATTTGTAACTTGGTCACTCAAATACACTTTAAAAATACGTTTTATTATAATTAAAATTACATTGTCTTTCAAAAATTTATTATAAATACATTTATTATACATACATTTTGGGTCGGGCCGGGCCGGTCCTTAACCCGTCCCGGTCCCACAAAACCAAGAAAATCCATAACCGGATGTAACCTGCGGTCCCGTAACCGGTCCTTACCGGTCTCGGTCGGTCCTGGTCCTTGGCCGGTCCCTGTTCTGGTCCTCCGGCGATCCCGGGCCGGGTCGGTCCATTATTAAGCTACGATATTCTACCGAAAACAATGACTCGATGTGGCCTGGTCTAGGACCGGTTTGAGATTGATTAAGGGCCTGACCTGGTTTTTAATTATTCTTAAATGTAGTTTTAGGTATATTTTTTTAATTTAATTTTAAATGTATTTTTAAGTGTATTTTATTGAAGGCCAAGATGTATTTCTAAGTGTATAATGTTAAAAAGGTATTTTTGTAATATATTCGGTTGACCCAATTAAATATTTTAATATATATTTGATCGACCAAATTCTTTATAACAAAAATGTATTTTTTAGTGTATTTAATTGACTCAACCATAAAAAAAAACATATTTGCTAGTGTATTTGATTGACCAAATCTCCAAAAAACTATTTTTTATATGTTAAAAATCACTTTAAAAAAATAAGTGAAACCAATTTGGGCCCGGCTTGAGACCGGGACTGGTCCTCATAACCGGGTCTCATACACTTTAATTGGGTCTTTGTATTTGGGTCAAGACCGAGACCGTTTACGATATCACTATTTGGGACCAGAACAGATTTGGGTCCGGCCCAAGACCCATTTTTGACCACCTCAACATGTCATATAATATTCAAAAGAATTACATGCATTTAGCCAAAATAATCATAATTTTCCTCAATTTCAAGGTTTTTGACAAATTTGGTGTTTTGTTTTAATATTATTGTCTTGCCTTTAGAAAAAGACTTCTTGATAATCCGCAAAAACCCTCTTAAGTTGGCGAAAATCATGACTTCTTTGACTAAACGCATATAATCTTTTTGACTATTTATCGCATCTGGTACCCATTTATGACAAAATCAGAAATTCACCGAATTTGTTAAACGTTTTAGTGAAAGTACCATCATTTTCAAAAATACATAAAAAATGGGTTGTTTTATTAAGAAAAAGCTGCATCAAAACGAAACTAACTTTTACTTAATTTCTATTTTAGGGAACCAACTTTCAAAATTATTATATTAGAATCTGAACCAAACTTTTCATATATTGAAAAGTTTCTTTGATTTGTTAACATTATGACATGTTTCAAGTAAATATCAACTAACTTTTCATGTCATATTTAAAATTAAAAATAACTGATGGCATCAATAGCTTTAAATTTTAACTATAAATCTATAATTTACATCATTTTAAAAAATAAAGAGGGGGCATTGCTTTTTAATAAAATGAATCCACGTAAAAGTCTTTCAAACGTATCATACAGGTGAATAAAGTAGTTAAAAATTATACAATAAACCAGACGACACGGTATGAGTTTTGATATCCTTCGAGAGGGCAATGACGAGACGGGGAAAAGGAGCGATGACGAGAAGGAAATGACATAGTGATGGCGAGAGGAAAACGTGGAATCGACAATGTGAGAAGGTCGGAGGAGCGATGGGAAGGAAGGCAAGGAGAGAAAAAAAAAAGCCAACAGTTTACTTTGGGGAGACTAATTGCACCTCTATACATTGCTAAATGCACCCCTATCTAATACTTTCCTTCTCATACACGTCAACATCACAACTCACTTTTACATCCCCAAAACAAGAATTGACCTGATTTTAACATTAAAGAGGGTGCAAATAGCAACCCCCGCTTCAATATGATTTTCACTTTTTTTTTTTAATTTGATTATTTAGTTTGTATTTTCTTTTTGATTTATAAAAATGGAGTTTTTTCAATAATAAACAAAAAAAACAAATACTTAGCCTCATTTATTTTTAACCAGAAGTGTATTTGTAGCACGATTCAATTTCGATTACGAAGCTAAAAGTTCCAACCATTTAATCTAGTATAATGTCGTATTGATATGCATCAACATTTATCTTGTATATGAACATGTTTATCAGTTGATTTTCTAAAGTTCAAACTTTGAACTTCTAAAAGTTGTACATGTACAATATATATACACACATATACATACATATATATGTATATATATACACACACGCACACTAGAACGGTACTCGCACAATGCAGCGAGATACATATCGATTTTAGTGTTTCATTTTCTTTTTCCAATCAATATTATAATACGGTTTTATATGGTTTTGAGAAAACGATAATGTTTTTATTTTTGAATAAAATATAATATGAAGATATCATAACAAATGGAAAAAAGATATTGATGTTGGTAGCAAATTAAATATTTAATTTTTTTTTTGTATTTTTTAACTCATTTTTTTTATTTTTTATTTAATAATATAATTTTTTATAAAGATAATAATTAAGTATTTTGTTAGAACTTAATGATTATTCTAATTATATTTTAGATTTTTTATATTTAAAATGAGATAGTTATTTAGAATTTGAGTATGTGTATATGCCGTTAGATTACACGAATTCAAACATGAAGCTTTAATAAGTTATACTCACGCACAATTTACTAGTAATCTTAAATTTTAAGTAATATGCAACAATAAATAGTACTTTATGCATAAAAAAATTGTTTTAAGAGTTTTTGTCTAATGCTTTATAATATAGTATAGATATACTAGTTTTGTACCCGCTGCAATGCTGTTAAATATAAAATTTTCTTGTAAATATAAAATTAATTATTCAGTTATAAAATGTTCTACCATTTAAATTATGACATTGTTTGCAAGTAA